CGTAATCTTGCATGGTTTTAGGCTCTTTAGAGCCATTTCTCGCTAACAATCTCTTCTCTAGTGTGTTCGATGTGTTTTTACGAGTTTTATAGGAATATGAAGTTTCTTGGATGAATCGAACATGTTTTGGATGTTTATAGAAGAGGTTAGTGCATGAAGATGAAGATTTTCCCCATGCCCTGTTGACCCTAGCTTGCCCGGTCAGACAGGGCAAAGAAGGATGAGCAAAATACTTATTATGTGCATTAGATCCCATGTGCCCGGTTGGGCATGCCTTGCCCGGTTGGACCGGGCAAATAGGAATAATATGATTTTTGAAGAGATGCGGCAGCAAGCAAATTCTAAAGAAGGCCCTCGCGCCCGATCGAGCACCCCTTGCCCGGTGGGACCGGGCGCAAAGGGAAAAAAAGCTCAAGGCAGCAAGGTAACTCCGTATACCACCCGCCCGATCGGGCAATGCTCGCCCGGTTGGACCGGGCATGGTTTCGCGGAGTCCGTTTTCATTATTTTTGAGATTTTATTTCATTAAGGGTATAAATACCCTTTGTAAGTATAATTAGAAAACAGATTATTTTCCTTAAGTTTTATTTCTCTCTCTAGAACCCTAGTTTATTACTTTTAAGCAAATTAATTCCTTCATTAGATTTAAGTATTGTTGATTAACAATTTGAGTTATTTCAATTGAAGCATCATTGGTATTCATCTCTATTCCCTTCTCTTTCAATTATTATTGTTTTCAGTTATGTTTTCTTTGATTATTTTTGTTATTGCTTATTTCAATATGTGTGAGTAGTTTTTATATTCCAAGATCTAGGGTAGCCCAATTATGATTGATGCATGAATTGATTCTTTAAATTCTCTAATAACTATTGCAATTATTTATGCTAAATTGATTGTGATTATGCCAATACTAGATTAGAGATAATTAGTATTGTTATTATTCCATAGTTCTAATCACAACGAGAGTTGGGTTTTAACTGATTTGAGTAGATCAATTTAGGGTTTGAAATTCATCACGAGAGTAGTTGAATTGATAATTGGGAAGTGAAGTAAAGTGTTTAATGTCTCTAATTTTCATGATTCCATGAGAATAGGCTTGATTGTGGTTAGAGAAGCCATTGATACTCGAGAGAGGTCCTTGGTATTGATTAGGGTTTACTTTTCCCCATGTTATTTGGAATTGTATGCTAGGGGTAGATGGATAATTGCATCGATCGTAATTGTGGTGATACTTGATCAAAGATGTTTTATTTTATTGATTCATTATATTCTTTTGATTAATTCTAGTTTTTCATACATTAGTTCCTAGTTTATTCCACCATTGATTTGATTCTTTCTTAGTGATTATTTGAGTCTAGATAATTTAGGTGAACCTTAGTCTCTTGGGATTCGATCCTTACTTGCCCGTCTACATAGTAGTAGTCTAGTTAGGTTATTTTTGTTAGGTACGCGACACGCCTATCACATGCTGAATCCCAAGAAATGTGTTTTTGGTGTTGAGTCTGGGAAGTTCCTAAGATTTCTGATTGACCAAAGGGGGATAGAGGCCAATCCGAAAAAAATTCAGGCGGTCATAGACATGCAGTCGCTCCGCACTGTAAAGGAAGTTTAAAAACTAACAGGTTGTCTGGTGGCATTGGGGAGATTCCTCATTCGATCAGACAACAAGTGCCTCTATTTCTTCTAAGCAATCAAGAACAAGACTATGTTTGAATGGGGGACGAATGCAGAGGCAGCCTTCCAGAAGTTGAAGGAACACTTGCACTCTTTACCAAGGCTCGTCAGCCCTCTGTCAAAGGAAGTATTGTACATGTACTTGGCCGTCTCTGATCATGCTCTTAGTGTCGTTCTCCTTGCTAAAAGAGACGGTTGCCAGCTGCCAGCTCACTGTCTATTTCATCAGCCATGTCCTGAAGAATGCTGAGTTACGGTACCCCATGGTTGAAAATTTTGGCTTGGCCCTCTACATGGCAGTTAAGAAGTTGAAGCCTTACTTCTTGGCACATCTGGTCATGGTCGTGGTCTACACTGACCAGCCGATCAAGCGGCCACTAACAACCATGGAATTGAATCATCCGGCCGATGATTAAGTGGGCAATTGAAATGCAAAGCCTAGAAATTACTTTTGAGCCAAGGAAAGCAGTGAAGGGGAAGGCACTTGCCGACTTCATTGTTGAAATGACTAGGCCAGTTGATCCAAAAAATCCAGACCAAGTCTGGAAGGTATATGTGGACGGGAGCTCCACCATGAATGGTTGTGGCGCAGGCGTCATATGTCAGTCTCCTGAGGGAGAAAAGTACGAGTATGCACTGCGTTTCAAGTTCCAAGCCTCAAACAATGAGGTAGAATATAAAGCCCTACTAGCCGGTATCCGTATGTGCAAGGCGACTGGGGCAAAGAAAGTGGACACCTGTTCTGACTCACAACTGATCGTTAGCCAATATCATGGTGACTATGGAGCTACCCATCCGGCTATGTTCAATTATCTACAGGCGGTCAAAGAAGAGCTCGGGACACTTGAAAAATTTCACCTAAGTCAAGTGCCCAGGTCCAAGAATAACCAGGCGGATGCCCTCTCCAAATTGGCATCATCTGGCTCCTGTGACACACCAAGATCTGTTTTCTGGGAAGTGATGGAAAAAAGGAGCATTGAGGAGAAACCTATTGGAGTCCTTGATCGAAGCTCAACCTGGATGGATGGCATCCGGGCATACTTAACAGACGGCACCTTGCCTGATACTTACCCAGAGATGATTGTAATGAAAAAGCGTGCGTCTAACTTTGAGATTCACAAAGGGGAACTTTTCAAGAAAGGTTATCTACAGCCTCTTTTAAAGTGTGTTACCCCAAAGAAGGGCCGAGAGGTCCTCGAATATTTGCAATCAGGGTTCGGTGCCTCCCATATAGGCGGCAGGACACTAGCAAAGAGAGCTAGGCGGCAAGGCTACTTCTGGCCTACCCTAGAAGCAGACACTATGGAGATGGTTAAAAATTGTGACAAGTGCCAAAGGTTTGGCAAGCTCATCCATCGTCCGGCCACTGACCTGACGGCTATCCATAGCCCAGTACCATTCGCCAAATGGGGCATGGACATTATGGGTCCCTATACGCTTGCTACAAGCGGAAGGAGATATATTTTGGTAGCAGTCGACTACTTCACCAAGTGGGTAGAAGCAGAGGCAGTCAAAAGCAACAAAACCAAAGATGTCATCTCCTTCATTTGGAGAAATGTCATCACTCAGTATGGGGTACCCATGTCTATGGTTTTTGACTTTGGACCTCAATTTGAGACGCCTGCTCTCAAGAACTGGTTGGGAGACCAAGGGATCTCTCATTGTTTTGCATCAGTCGGCAGCCCCCAAGCAAACGGCCAGGTTGAAGCATTCAACAAGTTAATCTCTGATGGCATCAAAAAGAAAATTAAAAGAGCCGGTGGTCTTTGGGCTTACGAGCTACCGCATGTACTGTAGGCCATCAGGACGACTAAAAAAGGGGTGACTGGTGAAACACCATTTCTCATGGTTTATGGGGCAGAGGCTATTCTTCCTATTGAGCTTTATGAGCCGACTCTTCGAGTCATGCTTTATGACGAAGAAGCCAACTGGGAAGCCATGCGGCTAGCATTGGATTCCCTTCCAAAACGCAGGGGCAATGCAGCCTTGTTCCATGAGATCTATCGTCTGAGAATGACGAGAGCTTACAACAAAAGAGTGCACAAGCGGCTCTTAAAAGTAGGGGACTTTGTGCTACGAAAGATGGAAGTAGTCGGTTGGGCCAACGAACAGGGAAAGCTGACTCCTAACTGGGACGACCCTTACCAAATCTATGAAGAAGTTAGAGGCTGCACCTATCACCTGGAAACACCAGACGGCATGCAGCTATCCAGAACTTGGAATGTAGAAAACTTAAAAAAGTACTACTTCTGAGATTTGTAAATTATTTGTAAACATATCAATAAAAGTTTACAATTTATTTTAATTATTGTACAAGTTTCCTCAGTGGGGCAAGCCGCCTGTGCAAAACACAGTCGGCCACAATTCTTTACTTAGCAACTTGTTCTTTTCTGAACAAGCTAATGAGGCTACAGGCCGGATGATCAACCTAAGGGCCATGGCCGAATGATCTTTTTAAAATTAAACCAATACGTCTATCCCAAAACTTGAGCAGGCGTCCGGCGACATCCATCTGGGTGAATTCGTCGCAGAGAACATCTCCCATTTGGGTGGCACATTGCTCTATAAACCTAAAACAAGCGGCCCAACCGAGTGTCCACTTGACAAACTCATAACCGTTTGACCAAAGAAAAGATAAACGTACCGCTCCCCAAACAAGCGGTAGACAATTTAAATCTGAGTCAGAAACCTCCTGTCATTACTTGGGATAAATGCAATCGGCACCCTTTGAGTTAATAGCTAAGTAAAACTTGGCGAATAAAGGGGATCAGGTGGCTTAAGCCTCTTGATTCCTCTACTACTCAAACCAAAGTGATGAAGTTTGGGTAACCGCATGTAACCCAACAAGTGTAGCTACTTTGGTTGGACATCCCCTCTGACGCCTGCTTCTATGCATCCATCAAAGCAGACGACCAACTAAAATCAAACAAAATAAACTAAGTACCAAACTTAGTACATTGCAGTTTATATGAGGAACCATGCGACCAAAGCAGCTTGTTTCTTCTACTCACTTAAATCAAAGGCAAATTGATTAATCTAAAGGGTCAACTCATGGTCACTCGCAAATTTAAGACGGAACCTAAACGGTGTGAACCAAGCCGTTTGTTTTTTAGCAAACAGACGGTATTCGGCCACTATTCCTCTTAGTTGCAAACATAACAGCCGGTCATAGCCGACTATTACTCAAGTACGAGTAAGATTGATCAACCTACACTTGGAATCTAAAAGGTGCGAATGAAACCGCCTATTTTTTGGCAAACAAACGGCCTTCGGCCACTATTCCCATTTTTGCTCACTATGAGGCTACCTTGATTAAAAACGTCCAGATTAGCGCATGTTCTATACAAGCACTAAATAGACGGGACTACTTGTAATCAGATAGGAATGCGCTAAGTACAAAGCCAAAGTTCGTTAAGAATATTATTGAGGCCGAGAGCCGAGAAATGCTAGGTGTTCACCTGTGCAATGGCCGACTGACCGCCTTGTTTGGGGCAATCACCATAGTGATTGATTGACCTAGAATTAGTAATATTAATAGAGTATCAAAAATTCAAAGTCAATCAACTCACCCTTGAAAACCAGGCGCCCAGTCGCCTAGGGACAAGAACAGTAAGTCTATAATGCATTCATGAAAACAAAAAGCAAGCTACATACACTTAGCAAAATTCATGAATAGCAAAAAAATTCAAACACTTCAAAATTTGAAGAAAAACGGCATAAAAAGCCAAATGATTAATATAAACATTCGGCTAGATGACCGACTGGAATTGTTAGAGTTAAAAATTGTATATAAACCTCGACCCCCTAGTTGGGTAAAGATACAAAACCAACGGCACGCAGGCCGAAGAAAGTTGACATAAAAATTGAAATTAAGCAGCTGGAGGAGGACCTTCAGTGTTGGCAGCCGCTTGATTTGGATCATCAACCGGCGCCTGATCTGTATCGGCATTCGCCTCCTCCTGCAGCGGCTCCTCATCATCGTCCGCCTCCTGCTTCTCCTCCTCCTCCTGGTCCGACTCCCTGGAAGTGGAGTCGGACGCCTCCTCATCACCCTTCGCCTCCTCATCACCGTTTGTCTTCCCCATGATCTTCTTGTTGAATTGATCAATACAGATGGAAAACTAGCTCCCCCACTTTTCGTAGCTGGTATTAGGGAAAAGGGCCGCCCAAGTCATCTTCATGATGGCATTTGTGTCCTCCATCATGTCCTGAACTATGGCCATCTTCTCTTCATCAGCTTTTTGGTTAAGTTTCTGGGTGAGGTCAGCCTCTTGATTCAGCAGGCGGCCCTTGAGCATGTTCACCCGGTTGCGGAGTCCCTCGGCCTCTTTGTCCGCCTCCTTTAGAGGACCGAGCTCAGCCTTGAGGTCCTTTACGGACTTCTCCAGCTCCAAGATCTTCTTCCTGGCCGCCTCTAAATCATTCTTCACCTGCAAAGTGGTGTTTGCCTGGTAATACAGTATGTCATTGTCAGAATCTCGTTTTGAGCTATTTGGAACATAGCTTTATCAGAATCAGAGGCGGTCATGGCCTTCGCAGCTTTTACCTTTTTGTTCTTCTCGGTGATGGGCTTGCGGAGACCATATACTCGCAGCATAGACTACAGCCAGCCAAAACAGTCATCAGTTGCAGGCGACCAAACAAACGTTTAACATGAAAATAGAGAACTTTTTACTAAGTTTACCTCGGCGAGGAGGGTCAGGATGGCTTCAAGGTTAAGGGTGCCGACTCCCTTAATAGAGTCCCTATCCAAAGCAAGGATAGCCTTCAGCATGGCCTTGGCCATCTGGACCAGTTCTGGCTCTTGAGGGGCGTCTGCAAAGGAAACTGATTAGTGCGTGGCATAAAAACAGAAAGCCAGCCACCTGAAATCAGAAGAAGTCGGTAGTTTGAACAAACTTTGAAAATTTGAGCAAGTTATACCTGTGGCCGCCTCCTTTTCCCTTGGGGGCTGGCTGCTCCCAGGGGTGGCTAGAGCCCTCGCCCCACTTTGGGGAGTCCTGCCTTGCCTCCCAGCCGTTTGTCTCCTGGCACTGCCAGGAGTCAGCGCTTCTCAGCCGTCTGTTTTTGACGTTTGGGGTCCAGTTGAGTTGAGGAGGAGGGTCTTACAGTGTCGCTCTGTAACAAGACCATGAATAAAAAACAGGCGACAAAAATAATTTCCGATTTAAAAAGAAGGGAAATGGTGCTCAAGTAAAGAAGCTCACCCTAGGCGCCTATTTGGCAGGCAACTCCTCAGTAGACCGCTTGCCAAGAACGGCTGCGCGGAGTTGGGCGGCTATCTTTTTGGAGGCTGAGATCTTTTCCATGGCTTTATCTGCAAAAGATTAATCAGATGGTTAGACACAAAAATTAAGCAAGTCTAGTAAGACACGCTAAATAGGCGATCCTCTACCTCTCGGCATCTCCTCGCTAAGGCCGCAGACGGTCAGGTACTTCCCATCGTATAACCATTTATACTTTGGGATGTAATTTTGAGGGACGAACTCCCTCACCCCAGTCTCAGGGTTCTCTTATATGTACACTTTGAAGAGCCCTCTATCCAGGATCTCTTCCTTTGCTTGACTGAGGAACAGGCGGCAGGTCCGATCCGCCTGTTAGGTAAGGTGGATCCCTGTTCCACCTATTGTAATTTCTGTTCTAGACCTTGTCAGGGTTAGAGACTATGTAGAAGGTGTTCCTCCAATCCTTCCACTTGTTCTCCTTCCCCATTGTCATCATATAGCCTTTATGGCTAGAAATCTGATACCAGCCGGTACCGCTTGTTTTGGGGGTCCGGCTGAGGTAATTCATGTGAACAAAAGCTTCAAAGCTTGGCTCTACCCAATACATCTCGCAACCGGCAACATAGCCCAAGATGTTGAACCATGAGTTTGGAGCCAATTGCCAGAGACCCAGCTGGTACCCATCCAAAATCCTTTCTACAGCCGGATGTAGAGGAAATCTAAAGCCAGCTTTGATGGCCGCCTCATATATAGCATCCAAAACACTCGTCCATATAGTTGGACGACTCTAGCCAGACTACCGTATCCTCGGCATCCGACACAGTCAAAATGTAACCATGTCCCATCACATGGTTAGCCCTAAAGCTCCCTATTTTTTTCAGACATGGCCTTACGCTTGCCTTTGGGAACATGGTAGAAATAGGGAGTGTACATTTCCCTTTGGGTGGCAGTCGGCTCTGCCCATTTCTCCCCTTTCTCAACCTCATGACTCTCTCTCGCTGTATGAAGCCGAGAGTGCTTCTCCTCTGAGTCGTCAGAGTGCCGACTGGAAGTGCTCGGCTTAGAGTCGTCATCCGAGCTCTCGTACAAGGAAGTCGCCTGCCCGGACAGGTCAATGAGGAGAGGTTCATTGACGAGAGGTTCACTGATGAGAGGAGCATTCTGAATCTCCTCCCCTGATTCCGCCAAAATGGAATCACTTGGGGTACTAGGGACGCCAGGCGGCACGTCCGAGATCTCGCTTATGGGCGCGTAAAATGAGGAGCCGTCCGAATTTGTAATCCTAACAGTTCTCTTTGTTCTGGCCATGGTGTCCTACAAAGACACATAGACAGTCGGACTCTGGGCAGTTTGCAAAGGATGGTCCAGCATGGGGCAGGCGGCACTCCTAGTTCTAGATTCAGCCGTCCTCGGTGATCGGCTGATCACTAACCTAGGCCGTGCCGGGTGCTTTTGGGCTACCATTTTTTAAAATAGAAAAAAACAAAGAGAAAAGGGAAACAAGCGGTTACCTTGGAAGTAGAGAAGTCTTGGAACCCCTGAAAACTTTAACAGCTGAAGAAGCAGGCGGTAAAGAAAACAGGCAGTCTGTAGAAACAAGCACCAACAGTCTAGAGAGTTAGAGCAGTCGTCCAAAATCCTGTCTTAAAACTTTCTAGAATGTCCAAATGATTTGGACACCCCCTATTTATAAGGGGAGAATTTCAAGGTCACCCAAAAAAAAAAAAAAAAAAAAAAAAAAAGTTGTTCTCCGATCATGGCGTGACACCTGTCGCAGGCGCCACGTGGCATGCCACGTCACCCCTGTGAGGGGCAAATGATTAGGGGATTTTTTCCCGCCACGTGTCACCTCGTGAGAGGTCCAAGGTGGTCCAATCAAGTCACGACACGTGGCAGGCAGAATTGCCAACTGAGCAAGTAGCCTCCTACGGCCCAAAGTTCCAAGCAAAGCCCAATCAGCCCTAGGTTTACTAAAACCTAGTGTTGGGCGTGTTTTTCAACACCCTATAAAAGGGAGATATTTCCCTCCTAAGAACATCTATTCTGAAATATTCAATACACATTAACTCTATATCAGAGAAAGTCAGACACTTGACACCCCAAAACCGAGCAATTATACATTGCAGATCCACTCTTGGAATTCGAGAGAGACCCTTTACTTTCTGCACTTTACTTCTCATATACGTTCTAACTTGATCGTCGGAGGCGGATATCCCACCCATCGGAGTCTCCGTTGTTTTGCAGGTACAGGCGTCCAGAGATCAGTCTTGGAATTGTAACTCTCCCTAAGGACATCAAAAAACCCTGAAACAGGATCCATCCAACTACACTTGAAGAGAACAGTCTTATAAGTTCTTAGGGCACCAGTGAACTCCAACTTGATGATATCCTCTAAATAACTAAAAAAATATCTCCACCATATTCATTGGATACGCATACTCCGAAATTCATGGTTGACTTCTGTTTTCCATGGCCATAAATTTGGAATTTGTATTTGTTCACATAGAATTGGTTACAAGTACGCACTCGTTTAGATGGGCCCTTTGCCAAAGCAAACAATATTTTATCATTTGGCTTTTCTTGAATCACCTGCTCATATGGCATATGTCAAATTGATATAGGTAGTGAAATTTTTGTTACTAAGTTAGATAACATGTGGATATCAAATGCGTAAAACACTCACTTTCAACCTAAACCACTCGAGAAATTCAGCTTCATGTTTAATCCAGACATCTTCTTTACGGATGGTAGGTTGCATTTGAACAATGTGGTCCTCAAACCCCCTTACCTATAACCAGAATAAGAATATAATGATGGTGGTCTAAATTGGATACGTTGCAAAATTTTACAAAATCTTAGTGAGTGTCATAAAGACAAATTAAATACCTCTCTTATTCTTCGAGAATGTCGCTATTTCCCAAAACATATAAATGAGCACGTTGTAGTTCATTCTCATCCAAAAAGTGGTGCACTCCTCCAGTAGATGCATGTCCATGATCAACCCTAAAGAGTTCTGGAACACTATCATCCTAAGTGCTTTCAACATCATCATGAACATTACGGCCTAAGTCACGTGTTTTTGTATCCACTCCTTGCTCGAAGTAGTTAGAGAAAAAGTATCCTACCTCTTCCGTTAAATATGCATTGCATATTGAATCTTCAACACGAGCCTTATTGATGACTTTACGTTTCAAATGATTAAGGAACCTATAATTTAAATTATTGCATAAGTACATAATATGTAAACAACTATAGATACATAAACAATGTTATAAATTATGACATTGTAGGAAATAGAACCTTTCAAAAGGGTACATCCAACGATATTGGAAAGGACCACATAACCTAGCTTCATATGGCAGGTGAACTAGTAAGTGTTCCATAGAGTTAAAGAATGATGGTGGAAATATCTTCTCGAGTTTACAAAGAATTTCTGCAGTGTTATGTTCCAATCTTTCCATATCACTCAATTTAATGGTGGAATAACAAAGGTCCCGGAAGAATAGACTAATCTTAGTAATAACTTTCCAAACATGGACTAGGAGCAATTCCTTCAAAGCAACCGGTAACAATCTCTCCATGAACACATGACAGTCGTGGCTCTTCATACCATGAAGCTTGCATGTTTGTAAATCTACACATCTACTCAAATTAGAAGCATAACCATCAGGAAACTTCAAGCTTCTTACCCACTCATATAACACTTTCTTTTTAGCCTTATCTAGTGTGAATGGGGCTTTTGGTAAAGTTTCTTTCCCTCTCGCATACTCAGTCACATGAAATTGTGGTCGTTTGCAATATTTGGCAATGTCATTTCTAGATGCAACTGTGTCTGAAGTATGTTTCTTCACATCCATCACTTTGTGAATTAGTTGGTCAAAGAAATTCTTTTCAATATGCATGACATCGAGGTTGTGGCGGAGGAGAAGAGTCTTCAAGTATCGAAGCTCCCAAATAATGCTTTGTTTGAACCACCCTAGTTTCTCTTTTTTTAGACTTGCGAGTGCTTTAGGGCCATCTGTTGCCTTTGCCAAGTATTGAACTTGTTGCTACAGCTCGTCACCAGACATTATGTGAGGTGGTGACCCCTTTTCAACCTTGTTCTTACAAAATGCAGTTTCGTTATTACAAAAGGATGTTCGGGAGGAAGAAATTGTCGGTGATAATCAAACCATGACATTTTACCACCATTTTCAAGCCAAAAAGCTTTTGATTTGTCCAAACAATATGGACAAGCTTTTTTACCAACTGTTGACCATCTAGAAAGCATACTATAAGCTAAAAAATTACTTATAGTCCACAAGATTGCTGCACGCATATTGAAGTTTTGTCTCCTAGAAATGTCGTAAGTTGTTGCACCAACATCCCACAGTTGCTTCAATTCTGTAATTAACGGTTCGTTGCATATACACATCCAAGTTCCCCTTTGGATTTTAAGGACTAGAAACGAGTAAAGAGATGAACATGAATGGTTTTTTCATGCACATCGATGGAGGCAAGTTATAAGGGGTCTAAATGACTAGCCAACATGAGTATTGACCCCCGAACTTGCCATGCGGAGCAAACCCATCGGTACTGCGGAGCAAACCCATCGGTACACATACCGAGTCTCACATTTCTAGGTCCAGATGCGAAATTGGGGAAGGACCTATCCAAGTGCTTCTAAGCTTCACTATTACTAGGATGTGCCATTGTGCCTTGGACTCTAGGATTTTTGACATGCCATGTCATTTCCTCAGCAACGTTCTTTGTTGCAAACAACCTTTGTAGCATTGGAGTGATGGGGAAATAAATGAGTTTTTTTTATTAGAACTAATGACCCCTTTGAAGTCCTCTTTTATCTGTCCCTTTTTCACAGTCTACACTTATCCAACTCAGCATCACCTCTCCAAAATAACATACAACCCTTTGGGCATGTGTGAATCTTCTCGTGCGGAAGCTCAAGTCTGTTAATAAGAATCTTCTTCGTATTATAGAATGTTTTCCCCATCTTATTATTTCCGGGAATTGCTTCGTTCAATAATGAAGCAAACCCATCAACACACCTATGTGGCAAATTGTATTCCGACTTCAAAGATACAATTCGAGATTCCATATCTAGCACAGACATGGAGCTCCCTTCGTACAGTGGTTGCTCAGCAACCTTTAAAAGCTCTTGAAATGCTTTTTCTTGAGCATTTGGCTCTTCATCTGAACCACTATGACCATCGTCATCTGATGGTTCATGATTACTCCCAAGAGGATCAAGAACCATTTCATGGTAAGGATTTGGTTGCTCTACACTTGATGTAGGGAACCCTTCACCATGAGACACCCACTCATAATATATACTTAGGTATAAACCTCTTCTTGTACAAATGAAGTTTTACTGTGTTTGCATCATGAAGAGGTCTATTCTTACATAACGGACACGGGCATCTAACTTCATCTATGCCCCGGCTCTCAGGATTTGCTTTACAAAACTAAATGAATTGTTCAACCCCTTCCACAAACTCTGCCCTAAGGTTATGACCATCATATCTATCATACATCCACCAACGCTCTTTCCTTTTCATGGCGACAAGTTCTACAACATTATGACAAATAAATCACATTAATCATTCACAATCATCTTATATACATTACAATCATTGTATAATGTGCAATTAGAATCTAAATGGTATCCGAAGGTCCTTATCACTTCAACCTAACCCATCCTTCAACATCTAACCCCACTAGTGAATGTATGGCTTATGTTTGATTCTACATAAAATCCGGCAGCATTTCCCATGAGTTCTCCAAGTACACGATGTGAGCTCTTTTAAACTTACATATGTACCCGGAGAACAACATAGGAAACAACATCGAAGGATATTACGTATAATCAAAAGCATAGCATACATTCACTACCTTAGCAAGATTAAATGTACCGGGGACTATTCAAGTCATAGTTCTAAAGAATATGACTTGAACGGGTATCTAGCCATATGATGATGCAAATAAAATCATTTACACATCTAAAAATATGACATAATTAAGAACATAAATCAATTCTATTTTAATCATCAACACATTTAACCATTTTAATCAAGGGTTATTATCATGTAATTAGTTTCGAAAAGCTAAAACAAATCTATTAATCATTCTTAAGTAACAATTAAGAATTTCACTTAAACAATTACACAATGTTAATAAATGAAAATCATAAAGCTTATAATTAAAAAAAAATTATGTAACATATATCCAAGGGAACTTTTCACATTCCTACCATCACACACACACACAAAAAAGCCAAGCCACGTGAAGATATGCAAGGATTAACTCTTCAATGCAAGTAGTTGAATTAATGATTTTGAAATCATGTATTCACTTTGTGCATGCACCAGGCATCAATAATCTATGCATTTACAGTTTGAATAACCATCGACTACAAGTGATAACAAAATGAAACAGACAACAGTTTTAGCTCAAAGAATTCCTGATTTTCAAAAATCAAAACATAATATCTAAGGATCTAAATCCATATTTTTATAACACAGCAATGAACATAACCCAAAACACAAAATTATACAAGTATTCAAATGGAAGTTAGGGTTTGTAGAGAACTTAAAGAAATTAAAAGAAGACATACCTGGGTGGCGGCGACGGAAAAAGGAGCAGGCTCGGGCAGTACGGATGGCCGGCGTCGTGGTCTGCGAAAGTGGTGATTTGCGACCCAGAATTAGGCATTTTCACCCAAATTAAACAAAAAAAAAAGGAATTCAACAACTTACCTGCGTGGTGGCGACGAAAAAAGGAGGAGTAACGGGCAACATGGAATACCGGCGACGGTGGTCCTGCGAAGGGGGGCCCAAAAGTTAGGGTTTTCACACTAATTCAATAAATTAAAAAAAAAAGAATTCAAAGGTCTTACCGACGAGAAGCGTCGCCGGCCGGAGGAAGCCGCGTCGGTGGGAGGAGATCTTGGATGTGTGACCGCTATTCGCCTTCTTTTGTCTTCTTCGTTTTCCCCCCTTTCCTTTCTCTAACAAAATGAAACGCAGCTTCCTTTAATTTTTATTCAATTTTCAAAAACTCTCGACCAAATCTGCGTATGTATCTGCGATCGGTAAGACGATTGTAAACATTATTCTTTTTTAAATTAAATTTTATTTACGGCTGCTAGCACAGCCGCAGAATGTTATTAAACGGTCACAATTCCTAAAGTCCACGACCGGTAAATTAACAGTCTCAATAAATAAAATATTGCGTCCGTTTTGTTGACTATCGTGAATAAACGGTCGTAAATTGGCCGAATTTTAGTAGTGTCGGTATCGGCGTTTTGCAGACTCTGTTGCTACTATTGGTTTTGTTCAAAGTAAATCTGATAACTCTCTATTTATTTACCAGCAGGGCTCAAACATGGCTTATATTATGTTATATGTTGATGATATCATTCTCACATCATCATCTGATAGCTTATGGAAGCATTTTATGGCTCTTTTAATTTGGGTTTCAAACTTGGTATGAAGGATTTATGGCCCTTGAGTTATATTTTGGGCATTACTGTGACTCGTAATAATGCTTATGGTTTATTTTAATTTCAGAAGCAGTATGCTACGGAGATCATTGATCGGGCTGGCATAGCTAAGTGTAGTGCATGTGCTACTCCTGTTGATAGGGGTGGCAATTCGGGTCAACAGGTCGGGTTCGGGTCAAATTTCGGGTTATGATTAGAAACTATAAAAAAATAGTGTAAAAATTAATATTATTACGAAATATGAAATTTGGGTTAAATCGAGTCGAATTCGAGTTGTTCGGGTTTGGGTTTCTCTCAGTAACTTCGGGTCGGGTTCAGGTCGGGTTAAGGATTGCCAGCCTACCTGTTGATACCAAACCAAAACTTAGTGCTTCTAAGGACTCTCCTAATGAAGATCCCACTAAGTATCGTAGTCTTGCAGGTGCACTGCAATATCGATCTCACTTTTACACGACCTAATATTTCATATACATTGTAACAGGTCTGTCTACACATGCATGATCCGTGGAACGAGCATATGAATGCTCTTAAGCATATCTTACGCTACTTACATGGCACCTTGTCTCACGGTCTTCACTTGTATAAATCATCTTTGGGTAAGCTCATTTCATATACAGATGCAAATTGGGGTCGGGGGCCCAGATACCAGACGATCCACTCCTGGTTATTGTGTTTTCCTTGGAGGCAACTTAGTTTCATGGTCGTTGAAAAGACAACCAACCTTATCCCGTTCCAATGCAGAGGCAGAGTACCGTGGGGTTACTGATGTTGTCTTTGATTCTTGTTGGATCTTGTTACTGTGACAATGTGAGTGCTATTTACTTAGCAGGTAATTCCGTGCAACATTAATGCACCAAACACATTGAGATGGACATTCACTTCGTTCGTGAGAAAGTCGCTAAAGGCGAGATCCGAGTACTACATGTTCCTTCCCGATATCAAATTGCTGATATTTTTACTTAAGGTCTTCCGCGTGTATTATTTGATGACGTCCGGGACAACCTAAGCGTTCATGAACCTCCCGCTTCGACTACGGGGGTATGTTAGAATATATTTTGAATATATTCCAGTTTCGTATATATTTAGTTTGTCAAGTGTATATATCTCTTCCTGTTTTGTAGCTAAGTAATTGCCTAGTCTGTAGCCTTATGTTACTGCTTGTACAGTGTATATATTTCAAAGCATATCAATGAAATGGTTAACTGATTACATTCTTTCAATGAAATTTTGGGTATGATGATGTAATTCCGGAGTCTGATTGCCAAGTCCTTATCAATAGGCTCTCGAAGGGGGTGGTTTTTATGTCTGATTTTGATAGTGTGCTTGAAGATGGGTATTTTAAGTCTTTTGTTTGGTCTCATGTAAAAAAGGATGGTAATTATTAAGCCCATCACCTTGTTAATATAATGCCGTTTGGTATAGAACAGATTTACGTTAATCATTGTCCTGAAATACAGAAATAGTTGCCCCTTATATACTTTCGAACACTTTGTCCCTTGATTAATGAATATGTTAGCTCGCTTCCCTCCACCCCCACCACCCAAAAAAAAAAAAACAAAAAAAAAAAAAAAACTGCCCTCTAAAAAATCTTTAATTAAAGTTTCCCATCCAATTTGGGAAAGTGCGAAAACACTCAAACACATCCTCCTTTCGTGTCTCATTCTAATTCTGACACAAGTTCCTTCTCCCACTCGTCATTCCTTTCCCTCATTCTCCGTTTTTTTCTTTTTTCAGATCCAACCAAACCCAAAAAACCTCCATAATTCCCCCTTCAGATTTCTCAACCTCCTCCTCCAATGGGTTTCCGCCTTCTTTACGGCATCTTCTTATTCTCTCTCTCCTGCACCGCCTTCACTTTCCTCTATTTCGTCCTTAATCCCGTCTTCTACCTCACTTCCTAATCCACTTCTTGCCGGGAAATCGCTTTTCCTCCATCGTTTTCCTGGGGTATTGGCGGTTTTCCGGCGGATTCTCTTGTGCTATTCATTGAATTTGAGAGATGTGAACCGTTTGGAAGCCGGGTTTGTTATTTATTTATTTATATTTGTTTTGGTGATTGGATCTGATATTTAAGTAGAAAAAATGTTGATGTAACTATAGTTGATGATATGAATATACTATAATCTTTTATTTCTGATTTCAATTTCTAATTTGACCGTTTTGTTCTGTATTTGTAGAATCGTAGATATTGATTCAGTTTAGTTTTTTTTTATGTGATTTTGAATCTTTTGATTAAATGTTGTTCTTGCAATATCTTTGGCAAGTTTATTCAGAAGAATTGAGTTATTTTGTTATGGATTACCCGAGTTTTTCAGTGAGGGATTACTTGAGTTACTCGGGGTTACTTGAGATGATCGGATAGGGGTTACTCGGTCATGGTTTACTTGAGTTACTGGATTAGGAGTTATTTAAGAGTTATTTAAGGAGTTCGGTAAGGGGTTATTTGAGTAATTTGATTAGGGTTATTTAAGGAGTTTGATGAGGGGTTAGTTGAGGATTTTGTTAAAGATTACTTGAGGGGTTACTCAGTCAGGGTTTATTCGGGTTACTCAAGAGTTCGATCATGGATTGCTCGAGGGGTTCTTAGGTCGGGGTCACTTGAGGGGCTACTCGGGCAGGAGTAACTCGAATCACCCCTTACCGAGTAACTCGTGCCGCACGGTATAGCAGGCCGCATATAATTTATAGTCAATAATACTTCTTACATTTCTTATTAGTTGAAGCGTTTTATTTTGACGCGTAATAGATAAAAGCATAATACTCATATACCCTTATCTAACCTTATTTTACCTAACCATATACTGAACCAATGAACAAGGCCTACCACCGTACCAACTCAAGCTTTCGTCTAACCTACCGCCACCGCCACCACCGTTATCAACTCCGGCTACACAGCTTCGGCTGTGTTGATGCTCACTTTCTCTCTGCTCCGGATCTCCTTGTGTTTGGCGCTCTCGTAAGTGAAGCTTCTGGAAATACATCTATTCCCACTCCTTGTCCTCGCGGTGGCGCTCCATCTCCACGACAACAGACCAAAAGCCACCGAGTCATGGTGGTGGTGGTGTCGTAAATCGAATTCTTAGACAATCAAGGTGCTCATACGAAGTTCAATTTCAGCAACGTGAAGGTGAAATTAATTAGACCGGCGGACAACCCTGATTGCTCCTCATATGACGCTGATTACAATGGTCTTCATGGTGATTATGCGAGTCATTAATAGTTGGAGAGTGAGAGAGGAGAGAGAAATTGAGATGTTATCCATGGTGGATTGGTTATGCCATGACAGAGGAGAGAGAGAGGATGGGTAATGGAGGAGAGAGATTGGGTATATTGTGAGGAGGAAAGTAAAGTAAAGTAAGGGTTAATTTGTCATTTAACATTATGTCAACTAAAAAAAAAAACCCTTTTAAAAAAGAAATACGTGTCAACTTAAAAAAAAAACGGAGGTAGTATACTAAAATACACATGTTTTCATTAACAAATTAACAATAATATACTGGTAGTTTTTGCTGCTTGAAGTAATTGGTATGGCACTATGGCTAATCGGAATAACACTACTATGTAAAATCAAACAATCAATTTGAAAGAGGCAATCATGCATTTATAAGTCTTATGTATACTCGGCACTAAGTGTCAAATGCGACTAAATATTCCTACAATTAGCCCAAAATTGCTTTGCAAATAGTGCTTAATCAACCATTAATAAAAACAGCGATACAATACTCATACAACTAATAAAGATGAAACACTCTATGCTATTACGAATAAGGGGAATAACTGAGAACACAAGCTATGTATAATTCCCAGTGAACTAAAATTCTTCACATTTCTGATGGCAGATGTGCAAGATGATGTGATCAGTAGACTGTAATGGAAGGGTACCTTTTTCTTCTTAACGGTAGTCCTATAATATAATAAATCAGGACATTTGTGTGAACCATGGAAAAAGGTTCAGACCGTAGTTTCATTGTAGGCAAGAGCACGTAAGAAGGCCAAATAATTATTTGTGGTTAAGTCATAGACTGATCTAGGAACCATGGTGCGGTTTGGTTTGACATGTCCAACACCAGAGCTGTATGGTCGCATGTTTGAAATCTGAATCCTCCATCAGGCTAGCCGAATTGTCTCTAGTTTTAGCTATAACTGAGTGACAAAATATATGCATTAATTAATATACTAATTGAAAATGATTGAAACTATTAAAAGAGGTTTGTAGCAAAGATAAAACTAGTAGTCATTATAGCAGATCTAATGGCAGCAGGACTCCCAAGTAGGGTATGGAGCGCCTTGAGAGGCCAGTGACACCAGAAATATAGGAGCTTGCCGTCAATGTACGTACCAAAACAAACCATGTAACTCTACGAATGGGTTCTCCTATTAGAAGTAAAGCCCCAATACATGCGTAGATCACACTCACTCCTGGTGCTGTGATATCAAGCTGCTACTACATAAAAAGCAATTCAAAATACTTTAGGTTACTCTGTATTAAATTAAATAATCACATTTTCCTAAAAAAAAAAATAAAAAAAAATAATCACATGATCTTCTAATCAAATTAGAATCACAAAGAGACAATTATAATAATATTTCACATACTAATAATCAAAGAGATGTCTTATCCGCCTGAAAGAAAATCTTCAGGCGAATAAGACTGGTGATATGCACTGGTAAGTAATTTAAGGCGGATATTCCGTGGGTATATAATTCAATAGATTTTGTTTCCATCTTAGTTATGACGAGATGAAAATCAAATTATCTGCGGAAAGATACATACATTTTACACATCCATTTAAAATTTATAATAACTCAATATTCGTACTTAGATCATTGACGGCAAAATATTTATATTAGATTATATTTTATTGGCTTTTGTATTAAGGAAATATATAGAATGAGTGTGGGATCTTACCTCTTTTTTGTTGGAATGAGAAAGATGCATGAAAATAACAATTAGGTTTAAACAAAATAGAGATGCAATAGCTAATGTGAGACAGATGGAAAATGGAAGTATAATACCAATCTAATATAAAGGAGGATAACCGGATATGTTATACATACTCCATATGAAAATATTTTACTGATAGTGAATTTGAAGGCCTATGTTGTACAGGAGTAAGGAAATCATTCAACTCTAGGCTCAAGTTACTCCAAAGATAAATCATTTAGATTGCAGAATATAGCTCTTTTCTGTATTGATCCATATTCTGTACATTCTTAGATAGTTAGACCCTTAATGTTTTCATTTACGAGTGTAATTGAATGACAAACCCCCATTCTAGCACTAAAATTGTCAAACTTACTGGGATGAATAATGAATTGAGTTCATATACCATATGATCTGTGCCCATTAGCATTCTAGAAAATGCAGCAAATCTGATAGTTAAGAATGCAGAACTGAGTAAAAAGTCATATACAGAACAATCTTTTATAGCAGCCGTCTTTATAGTAACCAAAATACACTAATAATTTCTGCATCAAAACTGAGATCAGAAGCTATACTTGTGAGCGCGGCAAAACAGATTTTAAATCCTTCATGCGTACTATATGTACACGATAATATTTGTTCATTTGACAAAACACCGGCATGTCACATGCTTTTGTTTCCACTTATTAGTCTTGGTCATTCTCTCCGCCACTCTAATTATCATATCGAAAATTCTAGTGGGGTTGAAAACATTTCAGGTTTTCAGCAGCTCAAGCTGTTTCTTCCAGATATATTATAGACGAATACTAAAGAGAAAAACCAATGATTTTCTGATTCTTGAAGAGCTGAATTACATAGCTTTCATTTAAGTATGTAACACATCTAAATTTGCTGATGATCTGATCATCCTCTAAGTTGCAGCCTTTCTGTTTTAAAGACAGTTTTACGACATACTGTGTAACTGCATATCAGTTTTCTCTGAGCTTCCACAGATGTTTCACAATGACATTTATGTTCATACAATGCAGTAATGCTTTCCCTTTGGTTCATTAATACTTTATTACTTCCTATAGCTAACAAAGTATTTCTTATTCACTCCATAGGTATTAATGTAGCTGATTCAAGTATTAAGATAACCAATAATGAATTTCATTTCATTTACACAATTAAATGAGGAATACCTTGAAAGGCCATCTTTACTAGTAATCCCAGTAAAAAAAACTTAAATCATCATATAAGGAATGCAAAGAGAAAAATCAACCATATGAAATCGCGTCAACTTGGGGAACGTTCTATCTCATACATTAAACAATTCTAGCTGATTTCAGGACATTATTATCTCTTATACTAATGTAGTAAACATAACGGTAGAGAATCTGTAAAGAAGATGAGAACTAGTAAGATATAACAAAGAAATTAAAGTTGTAATACATATATAAGATCTCATGATCGATCTTAGTACACTCAATTATCTAGCATTTTCGGAAGGTAAGCACGGTTAATCTCGAGTGCAGCGCAGAATACCACAATCAAGTGCTCCAATTGTCAGTCCCTTGGTTGACACATTAACATAGTTGCCAGTAAACTTAATCTGACAATCTGAAGAACTCCTAGGAAGATTATAGAACTCGCCGCAGAGTTCCAGTTCCCTGCAAGTTTGAACTTCTTTAGACTGAATATTGTTAGGTGCAATTATAATCTCAATGGCCTTCAAAACATTTGAAACTTTCAGCAGGTATCTTATGACATCTATCTCAATTGCTTTTCCCTCGATATTCTTCAACACAATCCTTGTGATCTTTGTCGATATTGAAGCAGGAACAAAATCCAGTCCAATGCCTAACATGTCGTTGATGTCTACATCTTGATCTTCTCTTTGATATACACGCAGTATCCGTACATTAGGCAAGTATTGAAGAAGATGTACAAAGCCTTTCCAGTGATTCCGATACATGATAGCCACATTAAAATGAGTAAGCTGTTGAAATACGGGAAGACTAGGCTGACTACTATGAATCAAATTAGCGAGAATGCCTACTATGGTACCAGATATAGTAAGGCTTCTCAAAGTATTAGACATGGACTTAAGGAATTCCAATTCGTTCGTTTCCTGTAGATATTGATCGGGGGAAAGTCCTCGGTAAATAATTGCACCACCCAAAGTTGTTGGCGTCTTCTTCACAAAACTATATTTTGACAAATGATTATAGTCCTGCAAACAAATGAACTCGAGTTTTGGTGCATCTATCACAACCTGAATAGGCATAAAGCAACTATCTCTCTGTATGGATAGCCTCTTCAAATTCGGAGATATTATCTGCAAGAGAATATCATCTACCATATACTCCAGCGGCCTTCCCTCTAACTTCAGATATTCCAACAATGGGCTAAATCTGATTAAGCGAGACAAAAAATCTAATCGAAAAGATTGCATAGAGACATCAATCTTTTTCAAATTAGGAAGACAAAGTTCTACTTCATCCAATTCATGAAGAAACAATTGACCATCACACCACTTTTCGATATAAATCTCTTCCAATGATTTACATTCAGGAACATGAAGATGCAAAAAAACACCAAACCACTCATCAGTCTCCTCAAAGCGTACCTTAATCACCTTCACACGTCTTTCGAAAATGCTTCGAATCCAACCACAGAAGACCCTTTGACACATATTCTGAACGGGGAGCAGGAGATTTTGTCGAAACACAATATCATCCCCTGCACCGAATTTCTCCAACGGAAAAGGGATATATATGTCAAACACATCAATAACAGGGGAAGTGAGTTGTGCTACTATACCTTCACTGTTAGGCAAGAAGCGATAATTTGTGACGTCGAAATAGTCCTTGTCGATACGAACAGAAGTGACTTGAGTCCAAAGATTGCACCATCGGTGGGATAAAATGCCGGTGACAACGGCCGAGTGGATAGGAAGAAGAGACAAGATATCGACAAGGAGGGCGGTTGGAAGAGAGCTCAATCTGTCTTCTCGCTCTTCGCCATTCCTGTCGGAATTGAGCATTCTCTGCATCTTGATGCCTCCCTCTACCGGATTATCAGACATTTTTGTAGTTTTGAGAGTTTGAGAGAAGTTTTGAAAATGTGATTAGCGGCTAGATTATTACAAGGGTTTAGTGTGTTGAATTTGTTTTGAGAATTCTGTAAATCTTATAGTGTCAAATTCATGCTGAAGTGTCATTGTTATCCTGTGAGATTTGATATCAAATGAGATTTTGAAGGTAAAAATCGAATAGGATCAACATTATTAGGGTGGTGACTTGATTTCTTTCCTATTTAGTTGATTGCTTTAGGCCTTGTTAAGTAACCTTATTTTAGGACCTCACTACAAAGTACTTATTTCAAATCAGATCAGAAAAAATAAGTTTAAATTAGATTAGATCGGGAAAAAAAATTATAATATAATTTATCGTTTTATGTATGATTTGTAATTGTTAAATATCTTCATTTTCGTAATGAAAAAATTATAAAATATATATTAATGAAATACACATTATTACAAATTTAACAGAACCTTGCTTAATACATATTTTCATTATAAGATTAGGGTATATATAAAGTCGTTTGGTCAAATTACACAATCAATCAAATTAGAAAAAAAAAAGGTGCATATCAGAAAAAAAAAAATATGTTCAAATCAAATCAAGTTAGCAAAATTAAGGTGAAGTAAACAGTGTCTTAATAATACTCCTTGTTTTATAATAATTTATATAGTCGATATTGAATCACATATCCCAATGCATGAATTTGACCATCAATATCAATATCAATATATATTATTAAAACTCATGGCAAGACATGCTATTTTTCCATGTGTCAACAATTTTGCCATTTGGCATATGATGTGACGCCACATCATACCAGTCCATTAATGATTGAAAAACTCCATGCATTAACCTCCATGTATTAATATTTAGTTTAATTGGAAAACTATTCATATATATATGCATACCAACCTATTGAAATTTCCCTTGAAATATAACTCCTTAATAATTGCACAATAATAAAATTTGTAAGAAACTAAACATTACTCCATTTTTTTGTGCATTAATTCATAAAATAGTAATTACATAGTAAAAGATTTGATTTATATATACATTACAATTGTTATTATAGAGTAATATTTTTTTGTGCATTATGGAGTAATATATATATTGATATCAAATTTATACAAATTTGATTTATCAAAAAAAATTTCCACAACGGATTGAATTATCATTTACCCTACATTTATTAATGCAAAAAATTATTCTTATAGTCAAACCAACTCATACAAACAACAAACTACTTAAGCTACCATCTTAAAAATAAATAAATAAATAAAAAAATAAATAAAAAACACCCCACCTTTTAAGTTCTCAATGACAAACAAGCCAAAATATATGAAGTTCGATTAAAGTAATAAATTTATAAAGACCCAGGGCATCGCCCGGGCCAATAACTAGTTTATTATGATTGAACATTAATAAAAATTATTAAAAGTTAATATTTTAGAACTTTACAGTATATACTTCAAAACATTTTACATGATATTAATCATTTCATACATTACTCAAAAGATACAATATACAGTGTTCAAAGTGTGTCAATTATTATGGAAAGGAGGGTGTATGATAAATTTCATTTATTTCATAATAATTGACACAATTTGACTTTTTTCACTATTATTATAATTGTACTAACTTTAATTATACTCTTGTACTAATGTATTGAAAACTAATTAGATAATGAAATATGTTGTTAAATAGTTAATACTCTTATTAGTATAAAGTTTCATGATATCAACTGTTTTATAATTTGTATAATAATAATAATAATAATAATAATAATAATAATAAAATAATAATAATAATAATAATATTATTATTATTATTATTATTATTATTATTATTATTATTATTATTATTATAGTCAAAGTAGTATATTGAAATGTATGTCACATTTGACTATATCGTTACTAAGAACAGAGGTAATAAAAATTATTATTTCCAGTAGAATTTTATTGAAAAATATATTTATTATTTTTTATAAAGGTAAAGCGAGAATAATTATACAAAATAGTATAGATAAAAAAAAAACCGTAAATCACATGAGTTTCCCCTTCAACTTTTAATTATCAAGTTCAGGATAGCTTTCCCCATTATATAATTAAAAAGAAGTTTAAGGGTTGTTTAATTTACATCACTTTATTTTTGCTGAACTAATACTATTTTTTGAACTAAAATTATTTTTGTTGAACTTGAATTATTTTTTTAAAAATTATTTTTAGATTGAAATATATTTTTAATAATTCTCTATTATATATGTTCAATAAAGTTACTAGTTTTTATTGAATTGAAATTATTTTTACTGAACAAAACTTATTGTTACTAAATTGAAATATTTTGGCTAAAGTGTAATTATTTTTACTTTATTAAGGTGAAGAGATATGGCCTTAAAAAACAAATTTTTCCCCGTAAAGTTGAGTTGTCTATAGTCAATAATACAACTATTATCAGTCTTACTTAAATAAATTAATAAGACCATTTAAACGGAGGCACTAAAAACTTTATGCTTAAGATTATATTTCTTCTGGTTATTTTTTTTATTATTAATTAGTGCACGTTTGCACTATTCACTTGACCTACTTTGATCAATATTTGTGGATACTTATTGAAATTGTTTCAATAATTTTTATTTATTAATATTCAATTGTTAAAATTTATATTTATTGATAATTAAAGATAATATTGTTCAAAGTTCTGCATCAATACATATACCAAGTCCCAATAATGCGCTTTACAAAAATCAGAGAAAGTACTCCCAATGATTCAAACTTAGTGCTTCACTTTGATCAAAGCAAAACTTGACATATACTCCCTTCAATTTGCTAAGTTTTAGTTAGTTATTTTATACCTACGCAAAACAATGCAAAGAAAAGTGGAAATAGAGACCATGTAGATATGTTGGTGGTACGTTTGTGTTAAGGAGAGGGATACATGAGATAGATACAGAGTAAGAGATTTATAAAATAAAATTAGGATCCACAAAGTGTTGTTGTTGATGTTAAAATTTTTAATAATAAGTTGTCATAAAAAGGAATAAAACAAAAGTTTCTAAGAATTAGAAGAACTGAAATTGAATAGAACTTAGGAAAATGGAGGGGATAACTTTTTATTTTTTAATCATCAATGCTCCCTCCCTTTCAAAATAAATGTCTCATTTTGATTTTTGCACTATATACATGACAGACTAAAGTCGTATCACCTAATCAAAAGTAATTTCTAAAACCGCTATCTAATAATAGAAAGGGAAATAGGGTCGATTCCACATGAAAACAACGTTCTTCTATTCCTAATTAATTATTATAATCTAGATTATTAGGGAACAAGTAAGATTGTGGCAATTATACTATGACAATAATTAAATAAGGGAAAAATCAATAATAAAAGGCCTAGGGTCACAGGTTCACCAATAATTAATACTCCGAGATAAAACATAACAATCAACAATTAATATTGCAAACATAACATGATTAACAGGTTCTCAAAATTTATTAATCAACATATACCTAACAACTCTATGCACAAAGGTCGGAAGGTTTTCAAAGCCTGTAATGTAAGGCTTAGGTAAAGGGTAGGAAAATTTTGGGAAAATGTGAGAGCAAAGCGATGCTTAAGGGAGCTAAATCCTAATAAAAACAAGATTAAAAATAAATAATGACCGATCATCTCCACAATAACTCAACTTAATGCTGCAAAAAGTCACCAAACAACTAACCCAATATATTACAAATTTTCCAACACTTACAACTTCACTCATATATACAAAATATAACATTATAGAACTTGAGTGAACAAACAAACTTTGAAAATTTTTCTTTTCTTTTCTTTTCTTTCTTGAAACTTTTTTCTTTTCTTTTCTTTTGAGCAACCTTCATTAGAAAACTTGAACATTGAAACAATTTTTTTCTTTTGCTCTTTTTTTTTTCTTTTTATCTCACATTGGAATTTTTCAACTTTGAACAACAATTTCTCATTTTTTTCCAATCACAATATCAAAAGAAAAAATTACTCCTCTTATTCACCCATATTAGAATAATTATGTGCACACTACAACTCCCTCACCTCACTAACTAATAGCTCCCACAAGCCAAGCTTGAGACTAGTAACCAATGGGGCAAAATAGGCTTGTAATGTTGCTAAATAAACAATGAAAAGTCAAGGCAACAACATGGGTAGCAAGAAGGGAACAAATGCATCTAAAATCGTTTGAAGACCACCTAAAAGAACAAACGCCTTCGTCCTCCTCATTGTGCATATGACCAGTTAGTTTTATCCTAGGGCCCTACAGGGCTAGTAATAACACCATTTGATGTAACAGAATCAGGATTAACAATTTTTTTATAATAGGTTCATCATCTTTGGGCATAGAAGGCCCATCATAGTGTGAACCACTTCTTAGGGTAATTGAATTAGCATGATCTGTAGGTTGTACAGGCTGCGATGGAAGAGCTCCATGCTGGCGAGTTTGCAGAGTAGAGGAAAGTTGCGCAATTTGATTATCTATGATTTTATTATGTGCTAGGATCGAATCAATTTGTGCATCCCTACTCTGCATCTGTTTCTGCATATTAGCTAACATTGTTTTAATTTCTGATAGGGCAGGGTCAGTAGATGGAGGTGGAGTTTGTGGTTGGGTCCTCTGGTTAAGAGATTGGTAATATTTTTGTTGTGGTTGTTGTGGGGCTTCTTCTTGTTGTTGTTGTTGTGGAGGTGAAGGTTTAGCACATTAGTACTCCGGTAGGAAAGATTTGGATGGTTCCGGAGTCCAGGATTATAAGTGTTGGAGTATGGGTTATTTTGCTTATAGGCTTGGAAGGCATTAACTTGTTCCATGGAACTCGTACAATCTTTTTCCCAATGACCTACAATTCCACAATTTTCACAAAAAGCATCAGTAGTATTATTGTTAGCAGCAGAACATTAGCTATAGAAGCAGGAATAACAGTACTAATATTATCTAATTTCTGAAAAATAGAGGTTAATTGAGCTTGCACAAATGATA